ACCAGTACTCTTCCTCTCCGTCTTCAGTCCCAGGAGACGGGATCATCTCTGTTTGTGCTGCTGCCACTTTACAGTAACTGACCTTCACTGCTGCCTTGCTTGTGTTTGCCACACAGTGACTGGAGCTCTCTCTCTCTGATCCTTCCCTTTCTGTCCTCCTCCTGCACCCCCACTCTTTCCCCTTTTCTCTTTTTTACATGTGACCTTTCTTTGTCTCATGCGTGTCGTCTTTCCCTCTCTTTCTTCTCCCTTTCTCTTTGCGTTATATGTCCGTCTCTCCAGTGCTCACTCCTCCTGAAAGCGAGAAGGCTGATTCGGAGGACAGGGTCAGCCTGAAGGTGTGTAGTCAGCACTCTTCTCTAGTTTCAGCTTTTTCTTGGTACAAATGCATTCTGTCAATTCCCTTCAAGCTGTCCTTTCTTTTCACTCAGTTTCAGACCTCTACGTGTGGAATACGCAGATAACTTTCACATTTTTCCTTAATTTTGTTTTTCTCAGACTCCCAAACGAGTAGAAGTTCACTCCATCCACACCTACGTGGCCCTCTACAAGTTTCTGCCTCAGGAGAAGAACGACTTGGAGCTACAGTTAGTCCCATTTCTTTGTCAACTTGAACGTGTGCGTTTGTGTGGATAAAAGCAGCCAGGTGAGAGAGGGGGAAGTGTTTTCCTAGCCAAAAGTTTACTGACATTCACACGCCATCTGCCTCCTCAGCAGGATGGTTGTCGGGGTTTGCAGGGTTCGGATTGGGAGGGAGGAAGCGTGCTGGGAAGCCGGGAAGGACAAACAGCTGCAATGAGCGTATGACAGAAAAAAAGGAGTCCTTTTATATTGAAACTGCTGAGGGTGGTTTGACACCAAACACTAATCTGGAGGATACATCTGTGCAAGAAGGCAGCACAGGAGGCGTTTGTTCACTTGAACAGAGCTGTCCACTCTCAGAACAATAACTGATTCCATCGTGGCCTGTACCTGTGCTGTACATTAACAATAGAGCAAGAAGTTGGGAAGCAGACGGTTTAGTGAGGACACATCTTGTGAAAGTAAAGAACAGAAGTTTATTGAAAAACATGGAGCGTGCTAAATCAAAGTATTTTGGGGTTGGACTCCAGTGAGAAGATAAAGGCAGATGAATCCAGGAGCCGTCAGAGTCCAGATGCTGCTGGTGGTAGAGCAACGTCAGCAGATGGAGGCTGGCTGAGACGCCCTAAACAACTCTGATGAGGTGAAGGAACAAGACGGCACAGGCAATATCCTACAAGTGACAGAATTACAGTAAATGTAAAGGACAGGGTCTACGGGCTGATTGGCCTGCAGGTCATTGGACGACAGGAGAGGCCTTTAAATTGAGAGGGAAGTGATTTGACTCATTGAGAAAGTGTAAGAATAGAGCAGTGGGAATCTTCCCTGAGATGAAGAGACAGAATGTGAGCAAACAGATCTTTATTATCATTATTATCATATTATTATATTTCATATGGTGGCATCAGCGCCGTGCAGCTGAATCTGTCAACCGAATCATATACAAGAAATGTTCTGTGTGTTGGCTGCATCTTAACCTCCAAACTCTCACCAGCCTGAATATAAGCTGGGAGAAAATCCTACAGCTTCATTTTGAACAGCATCAGCAAGCAGTTCGCCTCACAGCTAGAAGGTCGCTGGTTCGAATCTCAGCCTTCTGTGTGGGGACTGTTCTAACTCAGTGGGTTCTCTCCGGGTTCTCCGGCTTCCTCCCACAGTCCAGAAACATGCTGAGGTTAATTGGTGATTGTAAATTGTCCGTAGGTGTGAATGTGAGTGTGCTTGGTTGTCTGTCTCTAAGTGTAGCCCTGTGATAGACTGGTTACCTGTCCAGGTGAACCTGCCTTCACCCTGAGTCAGCTGGGATAGACTCCGCCCCCCATGACCCTGCAGGGATGAAGCACTGTAAAGATAATGGATGGACATCATGAGTCAGATGCCTGTGCAGCAGTAGTTCCTGACTTTGTCCAACTGCTGTTCATTGATCAATACTTGTTGCATCACTGTGCACTATTTTCACACCGTATTATTTTTTTTGTAAACATGCTACTTAAAGGATACTCGCATTGGCACAAATTAATACATTTGCCTTTCCACTCACTTATTGTAATGTAAAAATATGCTTATTTGCTTCGGACCGTTTGTATAGTTGCTCAGGAGCAAGAGGCAGTTATATTTAGCTTCATATTTAACCCACAGACTTCGAACTCAGCAAGAAAACTAATATCTAGAAACTTCAAATTATCTCACTGCACATTTTAGATCGTGTCAGGTAGTGTGGCAATGGTGAAAAATGCTTAAAAAGCCACTTCATCAAGCACCTTTTTGGATTTCCTCTTTTCCCTGCAGGCCTGGCGACAGAGTTCAAGTCACTGATGATTCCAACGAGGACTGGTGGAAGGTGGGCTGCAAAGAAGATCTTTCTATTTGAATGCACTGAAGTACCATCTATCTACTGAATAACGCATTAGATTTCCTTTCTTTATTTTTACTAAGCCAGCGCTTACGTGAATAAAATATTACCGCTATGTATTTCCAGATTGCTTTAGAATAGGTGCTGCAGTCGTGCACACGTATATGTCCTTCAGCTGAAACTCTTCCTTTCCACGCAAGGCTGTTCAAAGACAATGAGACTTAGGAGCTGGTGGATGTGCTTGAAAGAGAGCAGGTGTGGGTGTTAGCGGAGCTAGTTAGCATGAACAGGAAGAGAGGAAGAAGACAGATTGCAGTCAGAGTTAATGAGACAGCTGAAGATTTTAACCTTGACCTGCAGAAGGACAGACAAGTCTTTCCGTAAACACAAAACCAGGAACAGTTCTGGGCCTTTACTTCAGAACAGAACGGTAATCATATTTATCATAAATCATAAGTAATCATAGTACTGCAGGTGATGTTTGGTCCAAGGAGCCTCCATGAATAGGAGGAAAACATCATTCAGAATGTCCTGAATACGAATACGATGTCAGATTTCACGTTTTCCGAGCTGATTAAAAAGAAATCAAGAAAACAAAAGTAGAACTACTGTAACTTTGTGATCTGATTGAAACGTAGAACACGTTTTCATTGAACATATGTGTACATTTATGTGGAACTGCTGATATCACACAAACAATGCGACTGTTGTTGTCGTGAGAGCAACTTACAAACCACACTCCAAATCTGATATTTAAACTCCACCTGAGTCCTCGCTGTTTGCTTTGTGTGAGGAGCCAACATTTGAACATGAGAAGCAGCTAAATTTGGAGTCATGTGACTGCAGCGCTCCTGGGCTTTGGATGCTCGTGTGCCAGAGTCTCTGAAGAGAATAGCAGGGGATTAGGGCTCCGCCAGTACAAATGCCTTCTGGTCTAGTGACGATGTGGCTAATTAGGAAACAAAAACTCTCCGTTTATTTCCATTTTCTTGCTAATCGTGATGGTTCATTCAAATTCAGATTTAATTTTGTTTCTGTGATACAAATGTGATGCTCAGTTGGGCAGACGGTGGAGTAAGCAAACATGAAAACGTAAAGCTGGTGCCTCCTCAGCAGAGGGTCAGAGGCTGTAGTGGAAGCTGCCTGTGTGGGGTTTGTGTTGAAACACAAGCAGGTAGGTGATTAAAATTCGGCAAAACAATGCTGCAAACTGTGGCTGACTCATGGAGAAAGAATTTAACTCAAACAATTCAGCATAATAATCTGGTGCTTTAGAAATTAGGAACCGTTTTCCCATTGAATGACCTGGTTGGGCTAAACGTTAGCGTCCATGTTGGGGTGTGTTCACAGGGGAAAAGCAGAGACAAGGTGGGATATTTCCCAGCCAACTTTGTGCAGCGGGTCCGCCCAGGTGAGCGGGTGTGGAAGGTCACCGCCGGTTTCCACGGCAACCGAGACAAAGGCCAGATGACTGTGAAAGAGGCCCAGGTGAGCACCGTAACATACATTCACATACACACTGACTGCATTTTAAATTGTATGCAAATGCATGCAGAAAACTGCTGAGATTACAAAGGACAGCATGGTATGGCTTCAGCGCGGCTCACTTTCCACCTCAGTCCAGAAACTCTTCCGCATTACTGAATGTCACTTGCTTGCCCCTCCTCCTGCCCCGTGCTCCTCTCTCCTCCCCCCTACCTCGCCCACCGACTCCCCCCTCTGCAGATCTGTGTGGGGAAGAACGAGGAGGCCGACGGTTTCCTCCGGCTGAGCAGTGGGAAGAAGAGAGGCCTGGTCCCTGTGAAGTATCTGCAGGAAATATGACGGCAGCACATTGACCTTCAGGTTGATATAATGATGGAGGAATACTCAGGAGTGTTAAGCCAACACCTCACTGACCACCAACCATCCACCTCCACCCCTCCAAAAGAAGTGGCAGTGAATTAGCAGCTTGAGTGGAACGACAACCCACAACTTTGCTTTTTACTGCAGAAGACTTTAAAGGTTAAGACTTAACAGACACGGGGCTTCTTTAGAGTTCTGTAGAGCTACTTTTCTTGTAGCACAACTTTACTTTGTGTGGTTTTATATCTGCCCACAAAAGAAATGTAGCATTGTGTTGAAGAGGATGCGTGTGCAGGAAGTCTGGCTACCTCACTAGCCATCTCCATCAGCCATCCGCTTGTGAAAAGGAGAGAGGACTACTTTAATATGATGTCAAAGCGTGTCCAAGCCTAAAGGACAGTAAGAGCAAACTGTCTTCATGTCATTGTTTGTGTAGAGAGAACAAGACGTCAGAGGCTGTGACAGACTGTAGCTGTTACTTTCTGTTCCTTGTTTGTGTCTGGCCTCTTCAAACTGGTTTAGCCGATAAAGCGTAACGGTGGAGTTTGGTCTGTACAGACTGCACCTCCCCATGTGCACGTGTTTGCCGTTGTTGCGTGTCCCTCCTGCTCCGACTAGAACACATTCAGGTATTACATTATGTAACCATGGAAGTCTTCTACATCTCCATCAAATGAAAGTCGTAACTGACGCGCTGGGATCTTCTGTATTTCCGACTGGTCTCCGGTGATTAGAATATGATGCATTCGTGCTCTTCACAGCTCTGATGTGACAAATGCTTTGCGTGCACCTCGGGGACTTTCTTCCTCAGTGTGCCCTTCAATCGCACTCTCCACACACACGAACACGCCGGTTTTATAATTCTCTCTAAAATCAGCCAGTAGACTCTGCTTCCTGTCTGTCCTCTGTGAACGTGGCTCACCTGTATGTACCGTCCTGTAATCGTCGCTGTCAGACCTGGTTGTGCTGCAGTGTGAGGACGGTGTGCCGTCTCCACTCTGTCATGTGCTTTCTGCGTCTCCTCCAGGGAGGAGCAGAGCAAAGAAATAATCCAGGACCATTGATTAAAAACCAAACTCAGTGTTGTTGTTTGTGGAAAAATGTGGCGACCGTTCAGTCTCTCTCGAAGCCATGTACCAAACTTGAGCTGAAAAAGCTTTCTGAATTTTTAACGAGTGGCTAACGTTCATCCCAGCACACGAGTCTTTCTGTGAGGCTGGTGAGGTAAGGTGACAACAGGAAAAGCACCTCACACCATTTGGTTTATTACTCTGTCATTATAAACCACCAGGCAACTGCCTTTGTTGCGGCAATAACTGTAAATACAAATCTGACAGTATTTGTAAATAGCCTTATAAAGAGACTGTACATATTGGCTCTAAACAGCACTCTGAAGAGGTCTGCAGCTGTCCAGGAGCCAGTAAGGGCATTAATTTACAGTTATAGGGGACTACTGTCTAACTTACCTATGTATGCATCTCTTTGCTCAATTAACATCTTTCTCTATCAGCACAAGTCTTTTCAGATACTATGCACAACAGTTCTAGTCACTCACTTTATGTTGTACTCAGCTTATTTCCAGTGCAGCCACACACGTGTCGGTGTATATCCTGTGCTTTTGCAACGATTTGAATTTGGACTCGAGCTTTTTACGGAATTCCCGTCTTAAATCAGTCCGCACCATGCTACTCTTAAACATTATCGTCACTGACTAGAACCAAGACTGGCTCAGGATCAGTATTACCAGGTGAATCTCCCATCTCACCTTCATGCACACTAGCAGGCTAGTTCTTTGCATGGCTAGCTGCCCTGTGACCCCCACATCTCTCAATAAAGTCGAATGAACTTACAGGCTGTGTGTTTTTTGTTCGTTTGAGATATGATCCATCGTTTCTTCTTTAGTCATATGCTTTGGCCTTTTTGTTTTAAAAGCTAGGCCGAGTGAAATGAAGCTTTGGAGTGGAGTTCATAGCATTAACAGTCAACGCGGTACATTGCAGCTTTAATTCGGTACCGTTCGCTGTAGATGTCTGTCCTCAAAGCCACTCATACTCAGCTGTAAAGATCAGGAAATTCATGAAAACCTGCTGCACTGTTAAAGTACAACATGCTCAAATTAGACAGTTTGTCACCTCGTAAACGCTCGAATTCTCATAAAACTAGTGCTGGAATAAAATAGTAACACTACACTATAAAAATACTTCAGATCTACTCATTGATTGAATTTATGTATGAATACGAGGCTGCAGGTGTCTTGGTGGTTAGCAGCGTGGTCTCACAGCTAGAAGGTCGCCGGTTGGCGTCCCGGTGAGGACACCCGGGATCTTCCTGCGTGGAGTCTCCATGTTCTCCCCGTGCAGCGTGGGTTCTCTCCGGGTTCTCCGGCTTCCTCCCACAGTCCAGAAACATGCTGAGGTTAATTGGTGATTGTAAATTGTCCGTAGGTGTGAATGTGAGTGTGCTTGGTTGTCTGTCTCTAAGTGTAGCCCTGTGATAGACTGGTTACCTGTCCAGGTGAACCTGCCTTCACCCTGAGTCAGCTGGGATAGGCTCCGCCCCCCACGACCCTAGTGAGGGTTAAGGTGTAGAGATGATGGATGGATGTACGAATAGCCACAAGTCTGAATTCAAGTTTTTGAGACTCGTACCAGTACACTGTAATTTCCAGGTAGAAATGCTCAGCCGTGCACCTTGTTTTATTAATAATAATAATATCAATAATCATAATAATAATAATAATAGTAATACATTTATTTTGTATAGCGCTAACACATGGACATGGTAACAAGGTAAACAACTAGATTTTCAGAGTGGGTCTTCAAGTAAAGGTTAAAGAAAAGTAAACTGAAGGTACATCTGTTGTATATTATCATCATCCATCAGCACCACCTTCTGTAGTTGGTAGTGAAGCTAACTAAATGGCTCAACTTTGAAGTTTAAAATAGGATTTGTATGTAAAATCTTGAGTAGACAGTACAGTATTTTCCTCTGCAGCATAGTGGAAAGAAATGTAAAGCAGCAAAAAACGACTGAAGTAAAGTACTTACCTTGATTTACTAATACAATACTTAAGTAGAACTACTTAGACTTGTTCTCATTTTATTAAACACACATGGATAAGACCACATTGCTTAATTCTGACTAATGTGGACACGTACTGGAAGAGAGTCAGAGGAGGCTGGTAGGGTTAGGGTTACCTCACTCAAGAGTGTCCTTAACTGTCCAACTGTTCTCTACAGGCATTGACTGGACACTGATTCATGGACACTAATGAGACACTAAGTGGCTAAATATTCATCAACCACACCAGGAAGGAGTATTGTAGTATACCACTGAATTAGAAATCAGCATTCTGGTATGTTTTTAACATTTTGAAGTAACATGAGCACTTGCAGGGCAGCTCGGACCATAAGTCACAACCATTTGTTTTGATCATAGCGACAGCAGTCCGCTATGCTTCCAGTGAAGCTACACTGTGATGCTGAAGGCGTTGTCAGGCCACATGCTAACAGTGGTGATGCTACATGCTCATGTTTATGAAACAGTTACCATATAAGAGAGAACTTAATTAATCCCAAAGGAAATTCTTTTTTACCATGTTTACAAAGCACGTTAGCATGCTAGCCCTAATTAGCACAAAACGCAGAGCTAAGGCTAATGAGAATGCTGCTTGTCCTGCAGGAACTTTGTGCTGTATTGAAGCATTGGACACAAATTGTTGGAAAATTCAAGACATTGTCCGAGTTCCTAAAACTCTTGCTGAGGGAGATATGAATGTGATGACACTCTGTCCCAAAACTAACATGAGGAAAATTAGAGATGCTGTGAAAATCTGAAGACTACATGCTCTGTGGACCATTAATGTCTGTGTAGTGTGTCATGGAAATCAGAGATATTTCACTGTGGATCATGGTAATACTGGGGAACATATTGACCCTGGGGTGGAGATCCAGAAAGACCTTAAAGTAACAGTACATTGTGTTTATTTACCCACTTCTGTCTCGCTATATGCTAAAAAGTATTACTTTAAAGATAGAAACCTGCCTTTATCCACATATTCATCAAATAATTTCACACCTAAATGTATATAGCCTTGTATTCAGTAGTCTCCCTTCATGGCCGCATCATTCAAATACTCTGAGATCTTCCATTTGAGTTGACAGTGCAGCGCCTGAGAAGACTGCTTGTTCTTAATGACCATAAATAATATGATTAACTCCCAATAAAATTAATTGGCAACGGAGGAGCTGCTGGCAGGCCATAGACTAAGCTGGCAGCAGAGTGTTGTGTGTCTGTGTGTGTGCTGTGTGTGTCCCTGCTGTGGTGAGAGGAACATTTCTCAAATCATGACCCAGTTCTGTTATCAAATTGGATCAAATGTGATTTTCGTCTCTGTAGAGAGGGAGACAGAAATGTGTGCAACTGGCAGTACATCAAGCCACTCGTACATTTCATAAAACTGCTGACTTTGGTGCTGAGGATGGTGAGGCGCTCCAGCAGTGCTCTCCGCTTACTGTACCGCTGAGCTCGCTCCCTTTCATTACAGCGAGCAGAGGAAGTTGAAATCCTTCTCAGAAATTCTCTTTCTGTGGCTCAAACAGCAGCGATAAGCAGAGAACGTACGACTCGGTAACTGTGCCTCCTTTAACAAATGATTCTCGCTCTTCTTTCACGCTACATCCATCAACATCACAACAGGACGCTGAAGTGTTCGGTTTGGGGCAACAAATCCGAAGCCATGCGTATCAAAGAGACTGGTGCTGAGCCTACCATGCCAGCTCCAGAAAATGATATAAAATGCCTCATTAAATGTGTGATTTGTTGCACAATCATTTCTTGTCCTGTAATGTTCACACTCCGTTCTTTGCATCTTTTGAAACTGTGCAGCAGCTGCTGGACAGACTCGCAGTACGGGGTGGTAATCGCAGCACAAGGGCGTTAACAGGCAGCAGGAATATGGCAACAATGCAAATTCTGGA